TCAGCGGTTAATAATTGATGCAGCTCTGATCAATAATAGATGGAGGAGGCTGGTGAGGTCAAGGGGGCGGGGCTTAAAGTCAAGTGTGATGTCATGAATACAGACAGCCAATAGGAAACAAAAATAATAAAATAAAGATTCTTTAAGGGCAACACAATCAGAGAGCAGAAACCAAAACAGACGGAGTCAAATCAGGACGACATGCAAATACACACACACACACACACACACACACACACACACACACACACAACACACACACACACACACACACACCACACACACACACACACACACACACACACACACACACACACTCACACACACGCACACACACACACACGCACACACACACACTCACACTCAGGAAGAGACACCTGAGTTGAAAGTGAGGGCGGACGTCTGAACGACAACGAGCTTCAACTCTGAGTCACATTATCGCTGTTTTCATCATCATCATCATCACCTTCATCACCAGGTGGGTCAACGCCTCTCTGTGATTGGTCGATTGTGTGTGTTTTGATCTGATGTTAATCTCAGTGATGTTGCTATAGAAACGAGATTTAGTTTCAGCTTCATTTGGTGAAACTTTCATGTTTTAAAAAAGTTTCTGTTTGACGAGAAGGAAACACGAAGTACACAGGTTCATAAACTAATCTTACAACGTGTCAGTTGTCATGGCAACACGTCCGCGATCAGCTGTGATGTGTTCAAGATCTCTTCCTGTGGAGGAAAAAAAAAATGAGCTCATTGGTGGTGTTCAATAATCCAGAAGTTTCCAAAGGGTCAGCTCTCCATCAGAGAGCGACGTCTGGGAAACACTAGATCATCTTTATGACTTCAAACAGAACCCTACAGAACCCGGAAGAACATTTCAAACGTTCCCCAGGAACACACGTTCTAAAGGACTGCTGATACTCCGGTCAGCAAGTCTTTACTGAGAAACCTGGGAACTCTTTCAAGGAACAGAGTAAGCTAGAATCTTAACCCTGTGAAGACCTACAGAAACCTGCAAGAGTGCTGTGGTGGTCTGACAGATGTGTAGATTGTGGTGGTCTGACAGATGTGTAGATTGTGGTGGTCTGACAGATGTGTAGATTGTGGTGGTCTGACAGATGTGTAGATTGTAAAGGAACCTAATAAAATATTTAAAAAAATACTAAACAGACACCTGAGAACATAAAAAAAGACCTGCCTCATTTGGTCATCACTTACAGTCAGAGCAGAGAGTTTACCTGCAGCAGGTGTTTGGTGTTACCCAGCATGCACCTGGTGCAGACTGAGCTGATTTCCATTGATTTGACTGCAGAGTCTGAGCAGACAGCCAGATCATGAAACAGGAAGTGAAATCACCCTGCCTCAGTCTCAGGTGTACTGATGATGTCAGAGGTCAGCGAGCACAAAGATTAACCTCCTAAGATGGGTTCATATGATTTCACGATGAGGTCACAGTGATGTCATCAGCCTATGTGACAGACAGTGTTACCAGGTGCATTATGGGAAATGCTTTTTTTTATAAAGATAAGTAAATAATAAATAAACACGTTAAATATTTTGTTATAAAATGGTTTCTTCATCTTTAAATTTGAATTATTTATTTTTTATATATTTATTTCATTTTCCTGTTTCCTGTCTGTGTTTTGCATATTTTTTTTATTTTGGTTGTATCCTGTTGCCTCCTCTCAGCCTCCTGCTGTCTCTGTGCTCCGATTGGCTGAGATAACACAGGTCATGAACACCTGTCAGCCAAAAGTGGGCGGAGCTTCTGAACAAGAGGTTTCTCTCCAGGTGAGACTCAAACATCTTAGTTTAGGTGTACTGCCACTTTAAGAACTGCACCTGATATCATCAACACGCTCTCTGATTGGTCCCTTCCAGGTGATTCCAGATGCTGTGGAGCGTTTTCCAAAACTTTCCAGGCGCGTCCCGTCCATCGTCGTGGAAACGACCGACGGAGAAGAGGTGGAGAGTGGCGAGCTCCGCTGGCCTCCTGATGATGTCAGTAGTGATGTCAGAGAGGGCCACGCCCACTTGACAGGTGATGAGCTAATGTTTGATCTGTTTGAAGAAGCAGTACTGAACATCTGTTTTTACCTGAGCTGTGACCTCATCAGGTGTTTGTTTACCACTACCAGGTGTACCTGTAGAGGGGGCGGAGCCACAGGAGTCAATGGTGGGCGGAGTTTCAAGCTCTGACTGATGTGGCTGCTTGGCTCTCAGCCAACCAGTGTGAAGGCCTCTGCGGCGACAGGAGGGTTGGAGCCAATGCCTGTAGCTCCTCCTCCAGCCAGGTGGGCGGAGTCAGATGTATCGGCCGCAAAGGATTCTGGGGGATCTGCAGAATTCTTATCAGCAATAAAATAAGTTAAATTAAACAAAAGTAATATTTACCTGATTGACGGACAGCTGATGTTTCTGTTTCTTTAAACTCCTGAAATTTATATTTCAAATTAAAAGCACTTTTAGAGTTTAACCCTTAAACCAAATAAAAACAGATCTTGAACTTCTCCACCAGGGGGCGACAGAGCAGTCCTGTTTAGACTTT